TGTTTTCTCGAGCTACCGTCTAACAAGTAGGTGTCTGTACTGAGCTATAGACTCTATGCACGGAACGTGTCCTGCGCCCAGAGAAATGGCCACGGTTGGGCTTCCGTCGAAAGGCAAGAAGCTCAGAGATAACAAATGTGTAACTCTGCAGCCAAATTGCGAAGTTCTCCAGTTTTCAAATTTTATTTTTTGTTACTTTTACAATTTTTTTTTTATTTTTTTTTTCACATAATACGTGACCACTCGCATAGTCAGTCCCGTTTCGGACCATCGTAAACTCGTACTCGAACCTTAATACTTTCCGATGGTTCGTCAAAATTGTCAAATAATACTTTTGAATAAACGCTACATTTAAATATTCAGACTCAGCGTGTACTAGCCTTTTGCACTGTTGAACACTTTGTGTTAACTTTTACGTATGTCCTGAAAACCTGTCGGAACATACATCATTTGAAGTGCACGTGACGTATCTGAATGGCACGAATGACACTTCGAAAAGAAAATATCCATCAGAAATAAAAACACGAATCTCTTTCAGGTAACCACAAAGGATTTCTCATATTCATTGAGGTGCAACTGAAACCTAACCCAACCTAACCTAACCTTACCAAATCTTAGGCTGTCGCTTCGAAAATAATGATTCCCAGGGGGTTACACCCATGGATGAACTAGCGTTACTACGGAGTTGAAATTCTTCTCGTAGCACGAATAGCGAGAGAGATCCAATTTCCATTTTGCTTCCGGTGGCCGACCTCAGGTAAAATAACGCCTAGGTAAGGCGAGAGTGCGCGTTAAAATATCCTTAAACACAATGAAAATTTCACTCCCTTTAATGTTTTTTCACATTTTCTTTCAATACGAAAACCTAGACAACGTTTACTACCCTCCGGACGTTAGCACTTGGTGTGCCAACTACTTGCGACAAGGGCAAGAGATAATTTCGTGTTGAGGAAGTCATAAGAGGGCAACTTGAATAGCTGAGGTGGTGATTATTATAAAGCCAGGGATCTCGAGTTAGGATCTCTCGAGTGTTGCGCCTTCAGGACTTGAGCACGTATCGGTCTGTTTTCATTTTTATTTGAAATTTATATTCGACTGACTTCGTGTTGCCACGAGATTGCCTGATATCAAGTTCAGGTTCGATCTGACCGAGTCGAATCAGATAAAGTCACTGGATGAGTGACTGTGACAAAACTTCAACGACGTTCGACCGGCTTAAATCAAGTGATCGCGCTACACATAGCCAAGTTCGATTGAATTAAGTGTTTTCCTAGTGAGCTTCAACCAGAGTGAAATTTAATCGAATCACTGTAGGAAAAAAAAAAATTTTGAAATCCCAGATAAACCTAATACAGTCGTATCAAGTTACGCAACGATCAGTTCAGATCTAATTAGGTCAGAAGCAAGTCGAATCAGAGCGCAATGCACTCTCGCGGAATATCACGTTAAGTTGATTCAAGTTAACGTCACAGCGGCAGGACTTAACTTCCACCCAAGTTCCCCTCCTCGATCTAATTCACTTGGCCACGCAATCAATTACCAACTGAGTAAAAATCAACTGTCGAATTACTTTTTCAAACAAATTGATTCGCGTACTAATGACTAACCATCCATCGAACCACCCAACCTAACATAACCGAACCCAACCCCATTTCTGGATACGACGTCACGTACAGTTTAAGACTACTTTCCATGTACGTCGCGGGCGACAAACGCAGAGCTCGGGACTTGGGACAAGGTGGTAATGATACCGAGATCGAAAGTCGAGTTCGAAAAGCTCCGGGGGGGCTTGACAAAGACGCACGGAAGATCACGGTAGTTTCTATAGGCAGTATCGTATCGCCTAGGGATGGATACAGGTGGCACCACGTACATTGGCGCACAATTCTTTCCTATTTATTTACACGTGTACACTTGCCCATAGGACATACCCAAAAACGCTATACGTATATGTATACGCTTCGAGGCGTTTCACTGGCTATACAGGCTGTCTCAGAGTTGACGTACTAAAAGAATCACGATAGCTCGAAAACGAAGCATTATTTTGAAAAAACCGACAAGGACTTTTCGATTCGGAATTCTTTAAAATGTAACATCCACTCCATGAAATGGGCTACTTAGAGGACACCCGGTATATTACCAGTTACAAGGCACGGCAATGCAATAATATTATTAAGAAAAGTGCTCGCGATGCCGTTACAGTTGAAAAATAATAAAAAGAGCGATTTTTTTATAACAGCTTATTATCAGTTGATTTTAATATCGTCGAACAGGATTATCTTAACGTTTCCCATACAGGATTGAATTACCGTCGTATTTCCGAAACTTAAAAAAAAAATAATCCTATGTCAAAAAATAACTCTTACATCGTCGCTCTTACACATTTCTCGCCTATCGTACTCAGTTTCTTATTACCGCCTACTCCGCTATAGTTATCTGGCTCTGAATGTATCTTATCTCAAGAAAGTCCTCTTGACCCTTCGCATTAAACTTGCTCCTCTGAGCGAGCCGCATTCGGGTAGAATTAAGCTAAGACGAAGTCCGCGTCAGGTAAACGCAGCCCAGGGACACGATGCCACGCGAGAAGATTGCACGAGTCCCTTGAAGTATAGACCCCAAATGACCCGAAATGCTCCCAAATGGCACCAAAATGGTAAAGGCCTTTATTTCAAGACGGTTCGTGCTCTCTCGACTACTCGGGGAACTCCCATTGGTCGTAATTTCAGCGGCGAGAATGTCCTTCGTAAACAATAACGGGCCACTGGAGTCCTTTTCGAAATGCCCAGAACTCGAAGACATTCGTGGTACCACCGTCTGCCCATCGACCCACGGTAAAAGAGACCTTCGACCTCTGGGTTACAGTAATTAATCATCCAACTAACTAACCACGTGCATTAAACTGCACACGTATATCCAATACGGCCGTGTTACGTCTGAAATATAAAAAAAATAACTAACAAAATTGAATGACGCTTTTATATCCTTTCTCTTTGTATAGTGCGCCTTGGTAATCACTTCCCTTGTCATTCTCTCAAATTCTATCGCACCGTCCTCTTCATTCCGATTTCCCATGTACTCCGGCCTGAAACGTAGCGCATAAAAAAAAAAAAAAAACAGAAAAAAATGACAAATTCAACAGAATTACCGCTCCGAACTATTTGCCTCAATCGTTATCTTCGTGACACGTAGATTCGAAGTTTTTTCACTTCGAGCACGATTTTGCTGTAAAAAGAAAAGGAAACGGCACAGAACCTGTACACCGGGCAACAAACTACGTAATCTCTTCGCTACATTGACATATCCATGATAGATAGAAATTCACTAATTATTATTAACGATCAGAAAGCGATTAGCTATTAAAAGCAAACATGCACTCTTACGGCCTACGCACGTTTAATAAATATATGTATATAGGTATACTTATGACGTACATATGTGTCTATGCATTTACTAATAGAGGCCCTACGTGGCTACCATGCAGAGCGAATGATTTATAGAGAATCATTTATTTCATTATTTTAAATTAGTCTTTTTACCACAGGAGGAACAATGTACGGTACATACACATGTTTAGTCATATATATATGCGTCTTTATATATGTATATACATTCCATACAATACGGCCTGATATACATTGCCGGACGTAGAGCTTTGTATCCAGTACCGGAATTACCAATTGCCACGTACGTATTTTTCGTGTATATACGTACATCCATGTACATATGCATATATATATATATATATATATGCATATGTACATGGATGTACGTATATACACGAAAAATACGTACGTGGCAATTGGTAATTCCGGTACTGGATACAAAGCTCTACGTCCGGCAATGTATATCAGGCCGTATTGTATGGAATGTATATACATATATAAAGACGCATATATATATGACTAAACATGTGTAAATTAATGCAGTGTGTAAAAGATTCGGAAGATCGAGAACGTAAATCGGTAAATCATAACAAAATAAATATAATCGTGTAGTATATACAGATCAATTTGTCAATGTGTAATCTAGCGTGAGCAAATTGTGAAATCGTATAATCAGTGAATGAAAATTGACAAGAAAGAGAGAAGGGGCAAGGAGGGAAGAAGGTGAGAGAGAGAAAGAAAGTGTTGCAATACAAAGTGATACGAAAGTAAGAAAATGAAAATAAGGAAATACGAAAAATGGAGAAATATGAAAAACGAAGAAGAGCATACATACTGGAGTTAAAAAATATTGGTAACAAAAAATTTGAGGCAACGTAAGGCAAGGGATTTAAAATTTTTATTAAAAAAGAATATATGCTTTGGTTGGAAACAATGCGAATATTATGGGTTGGATGAAAAAAATTGTCGTGTATGCTTGTTTTTTTTATATGTATGTAAGTGTAACAAGATCTTCTTTCTATGTCCGTGTCCTTATCCTCCCTTTGTCGTTACTTTTTTCTTTCGTGGTTACAGCAGCGCTGAGGACGCTATCGCCTTGATTTAGAGAAATGAAAAATTGCTTGAATTTTGAACAAAAAGAATCACAGGCTTCGTATACGTATCTACAGTATAGAAAAGGAAGGCAGATACGCTGTGATCGGCAAGAATAAGAATAACCGAGAATAGACGTACAGTAGAGAGAGAGAGAGAGAGAGAGAGAGAGAGAGAGAGAGAGGGGGGGGAGAGGAAAGAATAGAAAATTAATGAAGAAACATAATGACATAGAGAGAAGCGTAATGTACAGTAATATAGACTTCTGCAAAAAGGTCTATACTTTGCAGGTACTGTGTAAAATGTTCAAGAATTATAAGCTGTACATATAGATATATCGTGTACGTCGTGTATGACGTTGTGTATCTACGGTCACTGTATATATTATCGGTGTATGGTGCTGTCGAATATAAACTAGTATCGATAGATGACGATAGATGGCAACAGATGACGATAGGTATCGAATAGTAGGTAATCATCAAGTAACAAGTAACGATTTAAATGAAATAATTGGCTGGGACTTACAACGTCGATTATTTGCATAAGCGTAAGCCCGAAGCTCAATACAAGAGGCTCGGACTCATTGCCCACGGGACGCTCCAGCACGTTGTACGAGTCCAGCAGGTCGTTTAGCAGCCGCTTCTCGTGATAACCACCACTTACCAGCCCTGACCAATCCACCATTTCAGTACAGTGTAGTAATCGCCACGTTACTCATTAGCCTCACTTCGCCGCCTTACTTCGTCAGATTGTCTATCTCTTTCTTTCGTGGTTTTTCTTTTTTTCAATCATTTTTTCAAACAATTATTTTTCATTTCTTGACCGTGAAACGGGAGAAAAATTCGATTGCACAAAAAAATAGACGTTATCAAAAGTATATTATGATATATTCGTTCGTTTCAGGTAAATACGTAATAAATCGTTATCGCGATATACTTTTTAACTGTTACGTCATCGAGTGTCCTAAGCCGCAGAGGATCAAGAGACACTTCGAAAGTGTCTGTCGTTCCGATAAGACGCTGATCTTTCAAGTACTTAAGCATCGCGATGATGTATCAAGATTTCTCCAGGTACCCTAATAGCACGGGTCCTCGCGAATATTTAATCTATCCATGATTTATCATAGATCACGTTCGATCGTTATCAACCAAAGTTAACTGAATGATGAATGACTCTTGGAACGATGTAATTTAATCCTGGAAAGTTAGCCCGGTTATCGCGAATCTCACGCACCAAGAAGCAGAATTCAAGGTAAATAGACTTCCCGCGCTGTACCAAATATTCTTGTCAAGCTCAGCCGACTCTGTGAGCTAACTAGTTTTCGCTAATAAGGTACAACCCTCGATGATTACTGCAAATGGCACGAGATTGCACGAGATGCAGAGACGTTGCACACGGAATTTCAAATTTAATTCGCGAAATTGCCAGACGGCTTCTGATTCTGAAAATTCACGCTTGGACAAGTGGACTGAAATGCATTTTCAAACCAACTGCCCTCCTGAATACTCTGATCAAAGTAGCCCTCGAATTAAGATAATCCAACTAGCGACCTACAGAGGCCAAACGGGATTTACCAAAATATTCTCAGATTCCACGTAACGTCACGGAATGCTCGAAAAACTCAATTGACGACTATCGACAATGCCTAGGACCACGTGAAGGTACAATGGAATTCGTCTAACCGATATTTGACGGATTTACTAGAATCAAAATAAAAATAAATCAGAACTATACAGAAACTCCGATAGGAGCAAGGACCACTATGTACAATCTACTTGAGATCGCAGTTCAAGTTTCAACTCAGTTTATATTAACAATAAAAACTAATTCGAATGGAAATTAAAAATTTGATCAAATGCAAACACCAGTTCGCGTTGCGGCCAGTGCCAAAAGGTAGTTCAAGCGTGCAAAAAATGAGGACCCCAAGCCTTCCGCGAAAAATCGCGTGAAAACGAATCAACTCGACGAATCAGTGCCAGTTGGGCTCCGCGAGGAGAAATCGAATGAGAGCAAAGAGAGAAGCGTAACCAAGCTTATCCAAGTGTATTAAGGATTGATGAACTTCGCTAGGTCATGTTTGCCAAGGTAGGAGAGAGGGAGGAGACGGGCATATTAAGAGCGATAGTGAGGGGTGAGAAGGGGGTGGGGGGATATAAAAAATGCCCGCAGCGGGGACAGGTCGGCGTCAAATATTGCAAGACAATACGTGAGCCTCGAGCAACAGAAATATGACTCGGAAATTCCGAGAGTAAAATCTGCACGTCTGCTGTCGCCGTATGCTTTTCCTTCTCGCCGCCCATTGGCATCCCTACCGCAACGTGTCGGCCTATCGCGAGCTTAGAGCTCGATCCACCTGGCCAATCCCCTCTGCCAGTGTCCCACCATCGGAAGCCCGCGCTATTTAATAAGAAAAAAAGCTGACGGACCATTCCATTCGAAATCAACACAACCGCTCTCTTGCCAAAACCCGCCCGTTACAATGCGAATCAATAATCCAGTAGGTCATGTTGAGAAATAAAACTGTGCCAAACTGTTTCTCCTCTCTCCCCCCCCCCCCCCCCCC